TGCATTTTTCGCAGTCGTTCCTGGTCAGGTCTTAAAATGTATATATATACTCACTTGGATTACAAACCCTAAGAACAGCATTCAAATATTAATACCACCAAGTGAAGTGCAAAAAACCAGATCATTGAAGTCCATCCTGTTATAGTCGCCTTTATAGAATCTCCTTCCCCCTTCCTACTTCTCTTTCCCCCTCTCTCCCCCACTACTGCCTCCCCTCCCCCGACTTCGCTCTCTTGCCCTCCCATTCCCCCTTCACCGCGCTCTTCTATTGTTCCGCCGACCCCAACGTGTATTTTAGGGGCTTTGGTGGAGCAGTCGTCAGAGCAAGCGTCTTTCACCTCTGAGTTCGTGGGTTTGATTCTCGCTATGGACTCATGTGAAAAGAGTCTGTCAACGCTCTGCCGAAATCGTGGGTTTTCTCCGGACGCTCCGGTTTCCTCCCACAGGGCAAGGTTGCAAGGTGGGTTGGGACAAACATAGTTTGGAAAGTAATATCACAGCACAATTGTTGTGAAGATAGTAGTCTACTCGCGTAAAAATCGAGAAAATCAACAACTTGTTCCAAGTTGTTATCGCGACAGGCGTGAACAATGTTGTGCGGCCAACTATGAACAGTATTGTCAACATGTTGTTGCAGCATTGTTTAACTGTAACAACTTGGAACAACATGGTTGACAACTTGTTAATAGCTGGCCGCACAACATTGTTCACGCCTGTCGATATCAACTTGGAACAACCTGTGCGTTTTTAGCCGTGTACACGTGTAAAAACGCTCAGTTTGATGCAATACGGATGAAAACAGGATTGAACAATGTTTTGCTGCCCACATTGTTCATAGCTGTCAACAATATTGAACAATATTGTTACACCCGATTCAGGCTGAACAGTATTGTTCAATATTGTTGACAAGTGTGAACAACGTGGGCAGCAAAACATTGTTCAGTCCTGTTGAGCAGCGGGCTCGGCGTTTTTTGCCGTGTAAGCTAAGTAAGTAACATAAGTAAGCGTAATACTTTATGTAATCGGTCACTGAAAAGCCTCAATGGGGAGTGAGCTAAATAACAATGTAATAATAATAATTTTAAGTAGATGTAAATATCGTTCCATTTGTAGCAATTACAAACAGACTGTTGTCGCCAACGGTTACATGTTTAACCTGCAGACCTTCGACCTGTTTCCATGTTGAACCAGTCGGGTGAAGGGCACATATACCAAATCTGTAATAGAGCATATTTTCCGAAGTTACAGCATACACCCTGCCTTGGTAGCCAGCCTCGAGTTGCACGAAATTGCCATCAACATCAAGCCAACTTGTTCCCTGAGGGAGCTGAATGTCACTCCAGTGCGAAAAGCGATCGAATTGTCCGGTTTTATCGCCCAACAGCCATAATCCCCGCATGAAACGTATGTAAAATTTCCTGGTAGCTGATACCAGTCGTCACCATACGGCAATTGGTCCGTGATGCCAGTCCGACAGTATAAATTGAATCTGTAAAAAATGCATTTCACGAAATACGTGTTTGCTATATAACGTCGACCTATCGTATTTTTCCACTCTTACACCAGACCATTTCATTTGCCGTCAATGAACATCAATGGTTAACCAAACCAGCGGTGTGTATTTTGCGAAATAATGGGGAAGGGGGCGGGGACGAATTTAGATTACCACCATGTTATTTGTTTGTATACGTGCATGGGTTTCACTTACTGATCTTCAAACTAGGGCTGCATGGATAGAGCATTTGCTATGCACAAATGAAGCCATTAATGGTGGCCATATTGGTTTGACCACCGCAAATCTCGGTGGTGTTGCTGATATGTTTGAAAAGGTTCTTCCGGTGATTTGTAGGAATAAAAAAATTTTCCTCCTCAATGGACCATTTGCATTATAGACTAAATTTTGATCTAGAAAAAAATTTCATCACAGCTTTAGAAAGAGCATCACAAAATTAGTAATATTCCAAAGTTTCGTTTGGAAATGTTGTAAAATGCGGATAATATAGCCTTGCGAAATTTGCAATTTCCAGTCATTTTGTATTGCAAACGGGAAATTGATGCCCCAACACCCGATTGGACTGTCAATTTCCCGTGCGTAATACAAAATGACTGAAAAACGGCAAACTTCGCATGGCTATATTATCCGCATTTTACAACATTTGGCAACGAAACTTTGGAATATTACTAATTTTGTGATGCTCTTTCAAGCTGTGATGAAAATTTTGTCTAGATCAAAATTTAGTCTATAATGCAAATGATCCATTTGACAGTGAATAATTAATTAAGCCCAACAATATGGCCGCCTCAAGTCTCGTTATCGCGTGTTTAAAACGATCCATATATCTAAAACTCATGGAAAGAGGTGTGGGAATGTATATGTTTCACATATATTTGCTTGATGGTATAACTAATTTAAACACGTAACGTTTTGGTTCGTAAGGAATGTGACAGATTTCAAAATTCCCCTTAATTGCTCCATCCAGTCCTAGTTTGAGATCAGTGGTTTCACTGAAACCACTATCATAGCAAGCTGTTCACGCTAGAGTTGTCCGAGAGTGAGAAAATAATATCAAGATTGAAAAGTTTTGTAGATGGAAATTATCGAGTGTAGTTTCATATACCGTAAACCTCCGACTATAAGCCCTGGGCTTATATTCTTTCGTAAGCGATTTTTGATGGGCTTATACAAAGGAGGGCTTATATACGGGGGGGGGCTTATACATGGACGATCTTTTGTGTTAGTGTAATAGTGATAAGCAAGGATAGTAATAGTGATAAACAAGTGTTAAGCATAGTAATAATATATAGTGATTGATAGTAGTAATAGTGATAAACAACAGTGATAAACAAGTGGGCTTGTTATATAGCTAGTGTGAACACCAAAC